TGAGCATAGTGAAATCCCTCCCAGGCAGATAGCAAAAGGGCCCCTGGTTTTCCTGCTGGGGATAGGCTGGGGATAGGCACGCTGCAAGGCATTGCTGTAGGCGCACTGAGGTAAAGGAGATCTCCCTTTGGCTCTGTGAACTGTAAAAAAGCAACAGAAATTGCCTTGGCATGTTGTGATGAACATTTCCCCTCCTACCCTGTGCCACCAAACCAACCCCTCAACAGACAACCCCTGCTCGGGGAGCTCTGAGCATCCAAAAATTGCCAGCCAGATCTCTGCCTCCAAGTCGTAAAACAAGTGATTTTAAAATGGGCTTAAAGTGAACTCTTTCTTATAAAAATGGATGAGATGGATGAATTCCCTGGAGAAGCCCCAGGCAGAGCACAGGGCTGGGACTGTCCAGGCTGTCGTGCCTTCGTTTTTTGCCAAGCGTCTCTCTGCCATCTCACACCATACAGGGCTGCTGACACTGAATGCTCATGGTGTCCTGGCCGAGATCACCCTGCCACCCTTTTGCAGGCACCTTCAGGGCCTCTGATGGCATTATGGACCACTGCCCAACTTGTAAATAGCCTCTGGGCCTGGCTCATATAGCAGGTTTCCTTCAAATGTTTTTGTGGTTGACTAGTCTGAAAACTAAAAAGCCCTTGGAAGTCTTTCACAGGGAGTTTAATCTCAAGCTTTTTCTTTCTGTCAGCTGATAACTGCTCTGTGGCACTAATGCAATTGCTGGAGGTGATGTGAAAAGCAGTTTGAAAGAATCACTTGCCAGGACGGGATGAAGTTGTTGGGCAGGGACACGGTGAGTTCGGGAGATGCTGCTGCCGCTCACAGCAGTGAGCGAGGAGAAGCCACAGAGGCTGGGGAGGGACAGGGCTGAAGGAGAAGGAATTCCATTTCGGAGCATTAACGTATCTGTGTCTGCTTTTGTCCCTCCATCTCTCCCCAGGCTGCTGATCGTCTACCCCTGGACCTAGAGGTTCTTCGCTTCCTTCGGGAACCTCTCCAGCCCCACCGCCATCATCGGTAACCTCATGGTCCGTGCCCATGGCAAGAAATTGCTCACCTCCTTCGGGGAAGCCGTCAAGAACCTTGACAACATCAAGAAATGTTTTGCCCAGCTGAGCAAACTCCACTGTGACAAGCTGCACGTGGACCCCGAGAACTTCAGGGTGAGACGTGCTCGGGCTCCAGCCTCATCTGGGCAGAGGTTTCTGTTCTCTGGAGAGGGATTTAGGGGTCTTTGAGGGGTCTGACAGTCAGTGAGACCTAGAGACAAATCCTGAGGCTGCCCGAGCCTGCTGAGGGCAGAGGCAGTGGAGGGGAAGGGGAGTGAATAGGCGTATTTGGGGAGAATAGAGAGGAGTTATGGGGCTGGGATCTGTGAGAGGAGGGACCAAGGCAGGTGAGATGGATGGGGACGAAATGCAGAGTTGAATACTTGCTGGTAGGAAGCAACATTGGCTTGGAGCAGCCAGAGACCAGAAGGGAAGAAACCGAGACAGAGTTTGGAGGGAAGACATGAGCTTGGCTATGATGGAGTGGTTAAACCAGGAGAGAAAATAAACACAACCACTTCAGCAGAAGGAGGGGACCTGAGTCAAGAGAAAGCAAGGGTGGGTAGGGATATGAAAGGAAAGGATAAACCCAGTCAAAGTAGAGGGAGGACACTGCACAGCAGGTAAAGGAAGATGTTTAGGGAGGAGGATCCAGGACATCCAGGCATCCTGGTGAGTGCCAGAGATGCAAGCTGTGCAAGGAGCCTGGTGCTCTGCATGGGGCTGTGATAAATCCATTCCTTGCTTTGCGATGGATTTCCCAATAACCAGTGTCCATACGCAAACACCTGGGTGGTGTGACGGTGGGGAGGGAGGTGGGGGGCAGCACCAGGCTGACAGCTTCTCCTCCCTCCATTGCCAGCTCCTGGGTGACATCCTCATCATCGTCCTGGCTGCACACTTCGGCAAGGACTTCACCTCTGCCTGCCAATCCGCCTGGCAGAAGATGGTCCGTGTGGTGGCCCACGCACTGGCCCACGAGTACCACTGAACCTCCTGCAAGCATTCGTGCCCGGGGATGCTCCCGGCTCACGGGGAAACATCCTCTGGTTCTGCTGGTCTCTAGTTGCCAAATGAACACCAACTGCTTCAGCCATGAAGAGGTGTCTGTCTTTCTGTGGGAAAGGGGTGGGGGCCACCCCAGGGTGCTGGGGATGCTCGCACACACAGGGTAACATGAGCCATGGTCTTGTCTATGAATTCATGCAAGCAAGACTCGTCTAAGCCGGAGAATCCAGCAGAACGTTAAAGACAAAACCCAAATAAACACACTACAAAGTACAAACAGAATTACTCCAGTGCTTTTTTGAGACATCGGGCAACATTGTTGTGTTTAATGTTGTAAGTCTTTCACAGATGAAGTGGAACAAAACTTTGTACAAAAATGTGCAGTGGAAGAAGTGGTAGCAAGATTAGGTCCATTGTTTGTAACTCCCTTCATGGAAGGAAAAAAGCTTTTTTGTTGTTGTTTTTTGTCTAAATCATTGCCATTCCCAGATTATTAAAGGCAGAATGTAATAGACACAACTATCTATTATGGTAAAAAATATGCCAAGAATGGTAATTTCATGTACAGGAAGGACAGAGTATCTGCTTTCTCTGGCCCCTATATCTGACTTTCCACAAGCAAAACGAAATTCCCTGAGCAGTCTCCATGCGGCACAGAGGACCACGGCCCTCACCATCCTCCTGTCCTCCTTTCAGACTCGCAGCATCCCCACAGCACCGAGAGCAGCTCAGGGACACGTTTGGGGTTTCTGGATGGTGAATTCCTCCCACCTGCTTATCAGGGAGAAGGCAGAGCGAATGGCTCCAGAGCATCTCTGCAGTAAACGCTGCACAGTTCAGTGCAGAGGGCTGGGAAGCAGTGTCACCCCCCAGGCCTGGCCCCGGGGTCCTTCGGGCAAGGCCCCTCCTGAAGTAAGCAGGCAGAGGACAACCGGTGCAGCCATCAGAAACGGCAGCAGCCCACAGCCCGTGGCCAACGCAAACACATTGCTCCATGGTCATCCAGACCCAGGTGGACCAGCCGGCGTTCCTGTGCGCTGCCTGGGTCCAGGACCACAAGCTCCATCCTCGGCCCCAGCACCTGCATCCCACCCCGCCACCTCCAGCCCACTCTGCTGGGAGCAGGAGCAGATGTGCAGCCCCCACATCTGCCCCTCCCACGGCGCGGGAGGACCACGGCCCCTCCAGCCACCGAATCGCTCGGTCAGGCACTGTCTCCTGCTGCGCGTCTGCACAGACCCCAGTATACCCAGTCTTCCCCACCTCTCCCGGGCCCCTGCAAGCTAATACCCTGCAGACAATTGGTGTGCCCTGCCTTGTCACGGTTCCCTTCCAGCCTTCCTTGAGCTTTGCTCATGGGCTCTTTGAGACAGGAGCTCTCTCTGAGGGCAAACCGCTGCCCGTGGTTTTCTTAGTGTTACCCTAAATTTAGCAAACTGTTAAACAGATGATAGGAAAGAACAAGGAGAACCCAAAGCCTGACAGGTCCTGCAAGAAGAGGACAAAAAGAAACCACTTGCACACTGCTGGTGCACTCAGAGGGAG